GAAGAAGAACTTTCTGTTATTAGTTTGAAGCCTGCTACCCATTCATTTCATTTGGTGTCCTCTAGTCCTTCTATTATGGGAACTAATGAAGAACTTTTCTTTATGCACCCTCTCCACACCACTCATGCTTTTATAGACCTCTATCATATCCCCCCTCAGTCTCCTCTTTTCTAAGCTGAGAAGTCCCAGTCTCTTTAGCCTCTCTTCATATGGGACTTGTTCCAAACCCCTGATCATTTTAATTGCCCTCCCCAGTCAGGACACTGCGCAGGACAGGCAGCAAATGCCTAGGTCAGTCCCGCTCCCCGCTGGCCAATTTGCTCACCACCCCCCTTCTTGGCCAGTCGGTTCTCCCCCACTTCCCCTCCTGATCTTCTCCGGCCAGCCCCCCTGCATCCTTCCCCAGCTCTGCTTCCTGCCGGCCCATATCTCCTCCCAGATCTGGCACCCCATTCTCCTGCCCCAGATCACAGTCCTCTTCTATCCTAGGTCACATCCCAAACCCCTGCACTCCAGTCCCCTGCCCTAGGTCATAACTACCTCTTTCATTCAAACTCCCTCCCAGTCTCCAGTCTCCTTCCTGCACACCAATTTCTTACCCCAAGCTCCCTTCTGCACCCAACCTCCATCCCAGACCCCATACCTCCTCCATTAATACCATGGAAGAGTGTGGCCCTTGACCACTTTTCAAAATCTTGGAGTGACCCCCATGTCAAAAATTATTGCCCTCCCCTGGGTTATGTCCAAACCTGTGCAGTATTTGTTCAAAAGGCATACTTTTTTTTTCTTTTTATGAGAGTTTGTTTTTAGATTTTACTTCCATTTTTAAGCATTCTTTTACTACTACTACTATGCCATATATTTATTTATTTTGAACGTTCCCAGTTTATTTATTCCAATATGTTTTTCCAGGCCCCAGCCAGCACTGTTCCCTTCCCCCACCCCCAATGAAGTGGGCCGCCGCGGGGGAGGAGAAGGGAGCGGGACACTAACGTACACAGCCAGGGGGCGGGCCATGTACGTCAGCATTACAGACTCTCAGATACTGGGCTACTATATATAGATGATCTGATGGGAGACGGATGGCATGAGACAAATCATTTGATCACCAGGCCCCAGCCAGCACTGTTCCCTTCCCCCACCCCCAATGAAGTGGGCCGCCGCGGGGGAGGAGAAGGGAGCGGGACACTAACGTACACAGCCAGGGGGCGGGCCATGTACGTCAGCATTACAGACTCTCAGATACTGGGCTACTATATATAGATGATCTGATGGGAGACGGATGGCATGAGACAAATCATTTGATCATGGTCTTCGGTCCACCCCCTCTGGGGCACCTGGTGCTGGCCACTATCGGCAGACAGACTACTGGGCTAGATGGACCTTTGGTCTGACCCAGTATGGCCATTCTTATGTTCTTATATCTGCTAACAACTGTTAGTGCATCGCATGTGACAATAAACCTGCTCGATGATTTTACCCTTGTCTGCATCTGTCATTTCCAGCGGCTCTTAGAAATCTCCTGTGTTGACCCAAGTGCACGAGGTCTAACACTCTAGAAAAAAGGAGCACTGATATTGACACATGCAGCCAAAAATTTATCACCACCAACAGAGTAAAGGCACTGTCAGGAGTGCACCGGGACAACCCCGAGAACTTTAACCAGATGACACTGAACACTAATGGTACGAAACTGAAAGTACGGCATCTGCTATAGAGAAACAACATCATCACAAGAGTATGCAGTCCCACAAGAATGTTTCCTCAGATGCTTTTCCAGAAGCTGAAATGAATACAAAAGTATCCCTCAGCACAGGCAGATGTCATCCTGTTTTCCTGCTTTGTGAAGAGATGTGCAAGAGCAAGATGAGCAAGCACGTGGGTAGGATTTAGCTGCCTATACAAAGTTTGAAAGTAGACTTGTCCTGTCTCTACAAGGGATGGAAGCACTCCCCTGTATCTTTACAAACATTATGAAGCAGGTGATGATTACGGGAATGACAAGGACCACACTGAGATCCAGACTGGTGCATAGGCAGCAACAATAATCTCTCAGCCTACCAAATGGGCACTCACAGTCATTTTGCAGTTATTGAAATTGTAACTGAATTCCCTTTTTCCAAAGTCATTAATGGTGGGAATGATTTCATGAGCAAGTTAAGAGCAGGCATGCAGGGTATCCCAAAATAACAGTTGGCGCAGACATACCATAGAGAATCACATACTCTTTAGAGAATGAAGTCCCATCCTTCCCCCTTCAAGTACAATCACAATCTTCTTAGCATCTTGGCGGTATGAATTTTTCCAGTGTTTCCAATGTCAGTATTCACGAATTTGCTTTGTAGTCCACTAAGCTTTGCAGACCTTACATTTCTGGTTCACAAACTAATTTGCCCCTTATGGTGGGCAAAGTGCTGTCAATGGCCCCATCTCAGTTCAGGAATCCCATCCTCTGATAGCCAATTATAATTTCCAGAATTTTGCTTACGGTCACAGCATTAACTACCTCACTAACATGTACATACACAACCCTGTCAGCAGACTTTCCAACTCCAAAAGCATTTGCAACTGACCCACAGGAATCTGACGTTGCGAGTTATCTACCTGATGAACAAAAACATGCCCTATACACAGGTTTAGCAGGATCTGATCTAAATCAATGTTGATAAATATAGATTTCAGGTCACACAAACTAACAAAAAAATCCATCAGTAACAGTTATTCAAGTGCAGCCTTCACTCCACAACAGTGTGCCTGTAGGGATTGGGTGTCACCAGCCTTTCTGTCATGGGACTGAGGGAGCAGGGACTAGACAGCAGGGCTGAAGAGAGCTCCTTGCACAGCAACAGGACTGGGTAACAGAGGATCCTGGCAGATCCAAGGTGCAGAGAAAGTTACAGTCCTAATGGGGTAGAAGAGAAATCTGACCAGGGCTGCAAGGAGAAGGAAGGTCCTGAGACTGCTCTCCCTCACCAGGACCACAACCTTCTTTGCACATTCTGCTTGTAAGGATCCATTATAATCGGCCATGCAGGGAGCCCTACTATTAGGGCCCTGCTCGCTCACTCACCAGCTAGGAGTGCAGGAGCTATCCCAGACCACGAACTGTTCAGTAGTAAGGTGTCTTCCCCTCAATCTGAGGTTCATCCTAGGAATGTGAATGACTAGTCGACTATCCGTTAAGCATATGCTTATTGGACAGTCAACAAGTCACTGGGGCTATTACTACACTTCAAAGGCAGAGATGCCCTTATCGACTAATCAAATAGTTGATTCAAATTGCATCGACTATTTGATTAGCCAGTTAATCTAAATGTAACATCCCTAGTTCATCTGTCTCCTTACAACTATGGCTGAATGTGTACAGCTATGCCAGGACTGCAGCCTCTCCCACACTTTGTACCCCAACTTCTTGAGCCTCTATATCATGCAGGGAGATCCTCTGTAACCCTGCTGTCAGCTCCTCTGTAGTCCTGCTGTAAAGCCCTGAGTCAGCCTAACCCCAATCCTATCCCCCCCTTTATTTATCATGACAGTAATTAAAAATATTTGAAAATTTTTAAAAATAAAAATAAATTGAAAATGAACCAAAACAAGTTCTGCCAAGCCTATCCATAAATGTTCCAGCACAGTCTATATGAATTTGTTGCCATTGAGTAGCTGGACATTTCCATGCAAGCGAGCCCCTTTAGGCATGTCATAGAGCAACTGGCTCTTAAAAAGGAGTCGGGGCCATAATGGCCCTGTGAAGAACCACTTTGGAACAACTGGTTGCTCCAAGTGGCTCTTTAATGGTCAGTTGTAAAGAAGCATCTGCACTCTATAAAAAAGCTTCTTGAGTTCAGTGAGGGAGAACACTCCCAGGAGGAATGTTTCTCTAAGCTGAGTGGGCTTTTAGGAAGGAAGACAATCCCAGAGTTCCCAGGTAGGAAAGAGAAATCTCTTGGGGAAGGAAATTACAGGGCTCCAGAGACAGACTGTCTACAGGTGAAGGGAACAGGAGTACCCTTAAAGGAAGGAACCTGAGATTGTTCTCCAGGTGAAGGGAACAAAAGTAGGCTGAAAGAAGAAACTGGAAACTGATCTCCAAGGGGGAAGAACAAGAGCAATCTCCAAGTCCTTGCTCCGGGTGAGGTGCTTGGCCTGGAATGCTCCTTGTCTAACGGATCACGAAGTTATTTTAACTGATCCCAAGATGGCAAATTTCCTTTGAGTACATGAACAAGGTCTTGCTTATACCTCTGTTGTCAATAAATGAGATTTTCTGAAAAGGGGTGCTGCAGTTAATGGAGAAGGTCTGTTTGGATTTGTCTAAACCCAATTGAGGGGACACTAAAGCAGAGTTCACCTACAATGCTACACCTAAATGGTAGCAGGCACAAGGCAGAGAGCCAGAGCTTCCTCATGTGGGTAATGACACAAATACTAAAATGAGTAAATCTGGAAATAAAAGTTTAGGAAATAAAGTTATACTGAAAAATTATTACAGATAAATGAGTGTAAGCATAAATCATATCTAAAATTTTAGGGCAAGATTTCAGTCATACTGAATTTGATAAATATATGATTGTATAATTAAACTGTAATGCAAAAGCACAAGGGGCAGAAGTAAGAAAATACAGAGAACCCTGAACAGATTAACTGTCAAAATTTTCAGTGATTAATCATTGATTCCTAAAATTTAATTAATATATAGTTCTCTCTTTTTCTGGGTAAACATAGCCATAGTCAAACTTCCTCTGACAACACTTACATCAATAAAATATCCTACATACATAGTTAAGTCAACTGTCATAATTAATGTGCCCAGAAACTCTCTGTTGTAATTGGAAAGATACCTTAATAAAAATGACACATTACTATATGATAATTGAGGACTATAAACATATGAATATATGCTGTACATTATATAAAAGCATTGACCTGTATTACATGTGCAAACTTCCACAAGAATTCTAAAATTTGTATTTCCAATTCTTCTTGAATTTTAAATCTCTTACCGGGTCTCTCCTTGCCAGTGCCTTTTGACTCTGCAAATTTTTGTATCAAACTTTCAACTGTAGTATTTGCCATGTTATTAATAAATTCTTCATGAACCTTTAAGAAAATAAATGAAATAAAGGTAAAAAGCAATATTAGGAGAAGCTCATTAGCTTAAACAATTGATTCTCCTATAGTTAGTGTTTAAAACATTATCTTTTAAAGTTCTTAAAAGGCTGAACAACATGGCCAGACAGCTTTGTAATGAAACAACTTTCTTCCCTTAACGTTTGGTACATGTCAAGGAGGATTTAAAGGAGAGACAAAGCAGACAATGATTGTTAGTGAAAATAGATCTTGCTCCATTTCTTTTTTTAAAATTGATTTTATTTTAAATAAATGTCAATAGATTATGCATAGTAACAATTATTATATATGGATTTGTCTACATGTAACATTGTACAATCGTAACTTCTACCTACCTGACTAAAAGTGATACTCAGAAAAAATACCTCCAACCCTGCAACACTGATATGTATAAAGTGTTAAATAAATAAACAAATGGTGTTAAATAAAAGTGTTAAAATGAAAAACAGCATCTGCACATTCCACTGGACTTGAACTTTTTTTAAAAATTACTCGAGATTTAGACATTACCATTCTGATCTACAAATACAGTTCAATGTCTGCGAATTAACAAATTATAGGAAAGAATAAAGTTTGTTTACACATAATTATGCTGACCTCAGACTAGTATCTGTAGGAAAAACCATTGATTCCAAAGCTTGCTTCAATAGTTTTAACACATCCCCGCAACTCATAAGAAAGCATAACATAGTATAATGTTCTGAAGCTCTTTAGTGTCCAGGCATGCATTTTACAGTTTTGCCTAAAATGAGTGAGTGTATATATCCCAAATGCATGTGAAAAATGTAGCTCTGAAGTCTGGGAAAGAAAGCTTTGCAATAAACACTGACAGTTCCTTTAATTTTTTAAAAGACAGATATTTTGTTTCCTGAGAATACATATTTCAGCATTATGGAATTCAACCTCAATTATCCAAATGTAATGGGGGACAATGGATAACTGCAATTTACTGAGAGTTTAGAGAAAACTTCAGTTTACCGAGGGAAATTTTCTTCTATATAATGAATAGGAATCAGAGACCCTGTTTCAAGATAATGAGCTTTAGATAATAATGACTGAACTATATATTAAGAAAATATAGATTAAATATCACTACCAAAGTACTATTTAACAAAACAAAAATTAAAATTATTTTAACAGAAATTTAGCAATGTCTGATAAGTCTCTCAAATCTCTGATACACTCAAGCTCAGCATACTGCAAAGGCAATGGGGGCATCTGGTGGAAAAAAACAAAAGTTGCTTCTTTCTTGAATGAATCCCCCACATGCAGCATATTGACAATATCACAATCACTTGCTCTCCAGACTGAATAAAGGATGTGTAAAACGAAAACAGCATGCAAACTATTTATATTGGCACAAAAATAAAATATTTTTCTTAAAACAGAAATATCAAATCATTCTAATGTACTCAAACATATGCCTGGTCCACTGGTAACATATGGTGGCGAGGAGAAAGAGCCATCATGATAAAGATCAATTAAGTGATGAGAAAGTGGGGTCCCATTGTAGGCACAGATGTGCCTCATGCACATGGGAACAGATTTAATTATTTAAATAGGGCCACACATGAGCAATGTCCCTCTACGGGCTCCTGTGAGAGGGCAAAAAAGCACTCAACCATCATTGCCTATGGTTCCTTGAAATTCAAAGCCGTGGTGTAGCTGAAGACTATGGAAAGTAAGGTTGGAGGGCACATCATGGGATTCATACTGACGCCATGAAGAGCCATAGGTTCTGTAGGATAGATGAGCATTCTCTCTCTTCTTTGAGAAGGTGAATGTAAGTGAATGGCAAGCAGCATCTCCTCAGAACTGCAGGGATGGGGAGTTTTAGCTTCATCAATTGAGCAGTGTTTCAAGTACTGCTCTCCCAAACATGGCATTTAATCTAGCCATTATGTCCAAGCCACAGTGTTTGACACAAACAGTGGATTATTTTACATGATCTTCCAAATTACAGCTATCAGCACATTTCTGAAGCAGCCATGAAATATTACTTTTGCTCTTTTGCAGTGAACCTTGATGTTCGGTGGGAGAGGTACTCTGTGTTATGTTATCCACTTTGATATTCTATGTGAAGAGATGGCTTGACCTTTAAAATATCTACAACTGAAATGACAGCCTGAATGGTTTGATCCGGTCAGTATAACAAAGGAGTATCCTTGGAACATCTAGGGTGAGCAATGTTGTTTTTCCTGTTGCCAAGTGTGACTCCTCACTCAAAGTTATCTTGTCTTTATAGAATGTTATATGAAAGGTTCAGCCATGAGCACTTGAAGCTCACTCATCCTCCAGCCTGAAGTGATGGCCACCAACTTCAGAGTGAGGTGATATAATGAATATTCAATGAGAGTTTCAAACAACCACCATGAGCTGCATGAGCATCAAACAGATTACAGACTGGAGCAGGTTCTTCAACTGATGAGAAAGTATGCAAAAACATTTGAGAAACTTTTAGATGATCAGATGAGACAAGCATAAACACGAGGCAGTCCTTAATAAAGGGGAACAACAGGCCAGCCTGTTTCAAATGTAGCAAACAGTCAGGGTTCTGTACTGGGATCCAGAATGTTAGGTCATGGATACTAAGAACCCAATTCCATTGCGAGGGTTATGTCCTTCTTGTAGATGTTTTCCTACTCTGAATTAGGCTTTCCTGAACCTATAGGAAGCAATCTATCCATAATATTTAATCTGCCAAAATTCAGGCTGTCTAGTGTGGCGATTACATGTCTGGATGGAGTATGGAGCCACAATGCTGTGAGATCAGGCCTAGGTGAACTGGAAGCTGGATCAGAGGTTAAATTGATGTCTGCATTGGGTTTGTCAGCCAAAACTGACATGGCCAGTATGAAACTATGAGAATGACGACAGCTTTGTCTGTTTTGGAAACTGCCTTGGAATCAGGGAAATCAAAGTAAAAGCATAGAGTAGGCTTCTGTTTCACTGTAAGACTGAGGTATCTGTTAATGATCCTGAATTCAAGTTTCCTCTGGAGGAGCAGTTCTGGTACTTGGAGTTATCCTTGGTGGCAAGCAAGTCTATCATGAAGGACTCCCAATGACAAAACAACAGTCTTACTGGACTGGTGCAAGGACTGCTGGTGACTAGTTAGATTTCCTGTTCAGGAAATCCAGCAGGCTGGTTCTAATTACTGAGAGGTGAAAGGCCACCAGAGTCATGTCATTCTAATTACACAATTGGAGAAGTTGATCACCTCTAAGCACAGAGAGGAGGCCAGACACTCCCTTGTTTGTTTACATAATGCACATCTTTAAAAGACACCGCAAAGCTTTCACTATAAAGTTTAAGACTATGCACACAACAAACATTATAAAGATCAAACTGATGGCATGTAACTTCATTTCATCCAGAATATGTCCATAATGATTCTCTTTATTGGAATGGATAATTAAAAGGGTATTTACATTTGTGGGATACAAATACTTGCCTATCCCCTGAAACTAAATAGTGCAAATCTTTGCAGAACACACAAATATGAAATGACACAATGTGGCATTGACATTTTTCTGTGTAATTATTGACTCACAGGGGAACAGGCTAGCTTTGGCTCAAGTTGGAGGGGTCAAAAAGTCTGGCAAACAGCATCATATACATGCATGCCAGCTTGTGGTTGAATACAGTGAGGCAAATCTATAACATTACAGCTGGTTTTCATGTTAGATGAAGTATAAGTGCCTGAAACAGGAACATGTCCTCAGGCATGTATGTTGTTGTTATTTTTTTTTTAAATCAGGAGTCAATCACAGCTCTTATGAGACCACCTTGGCTTAATCAGGAGATCTTACACGATATAAAAATAAAAAAGTAGTTGTATAAAAAATAGAAACAAAGTCAAACTACAAAGGATGAATATAAGCAAATAATGCAAGTATGTGGGGACAAGATTTCAGTACAAAACAAATAATCTAGCTAGAGATATAAAGGGTAACAAGAAAACATTCCACAAATACATGAGATGCAAGAGGAAGACCAAGGACAGGGTAGACCTATTGCTCAATGAATAGGGAGAAACAACAACAGAAAATGTGGGAATGGCAGAGGTGCTTAATGACGTCTTTGTTTCAGTTTTCACCAAGAAGACTGATGGTGATGGGTGCCTAACATAGTGAATGCTAGTGGAAATGGGGTAGGTTTAGAAGAGGACTGGAAAAGGGCAAATATAGTGCCCATTTACAAAAAGGGAAATAAGAACAACCCCGAAAGCTACAGACCAGTCAGTTTAACTTCTGTGCTAGAAAAGATAACGGTGCATATAATTAAGGGATTCGTCTGCAAACATCTGGAAGATAATAAGGTGATAGGTAACAGTCAGCATGGATTTATAAAGAACAAATCATGTGAAATCAATCTGATAGTTTCTCTGATAGGATAACAAGTCTTGTGGATAAGGGGGAAGCGGTGGACATGGTTTACTTAGACTTTAGTAAAGCATTTGATACAGTCTCTCTCATGACCTTCTTATCAATAAACCAGGGAAATACAACATGGATGGGGCTACTATAAGGTGGGTGCATAAATGGCTGGATAACCATTCTCAGAGAGGAGTTATTAATGGTTCAGTCATGCTGGAAGGGCATTACAAGTGGTATTCCACAGTGGTCAGTTTTGGGACCTGTTCTGTTCAATAACTTTATCAACGATTTAGGTATTAGCACAGAGAACATGTTTATTATGTTTGCAGATGATACCAAGCTGGGAGAGGTTGAGAGTGCTTTGGAGATAGTGTCAGAATTCACAATGATCTGGACAAACTAGAGAAATGGTCTGAGGTAAATAGGATGAAGTTAAATAAGAACAAATGCAAAGTACTCCACTTAGGAAGGAACAATCAGTTTCACACATACAAAATGGGAAGCTAAAAAGGAGTTCTAAAGAAAGAGATTTAAGGGTCATAGTGGATCACAGGCTAAACATGAGTCAACAGTGTGACGTTGCAAGAAAAGCAAACATGGTTCCGGGATGCATTAACAGGAGTGTTGTGAGCAAGACATGAGAAGCCTCCACAAGGCTGCAAGAGAAAAAATCCTTATTCAGAAGGATAAGACTAATAAAGGATGTGTCACCTATACATCTCATCTTACATTTTTATACACCTTCTTATTTGTTGTTTTCCTGGTTAAACCCTACACATCTCAGAGTATAATTTACATCTACTTAGTGGTATGTATCTTATACTACTATTATATTACCTGTTAATTTGGTGCAGTGTGTTTATTGTAATGTGCAATCACACAAAAATAAAGTTACAAACATATGCAAACCACAATACAACAAAGACTGGGATTTTTATGTGCTTAAAAATCATAAAACGTTCCATTGTTATGTTGCTTCCAGATATTAACACATATCTACAGAATTGGCATCAATAAAAAAGCACCACAAAGGCAAAAGAGTGATGTATTATAATAGCAGTTGCATCTATACATTTGAATTTCATAACATGTATTGTTATAAAATGAACCATAAGGATACATTAAACCATTTTTGCTGGCACAGCTCTCCTTTTTCTACTGGAAGATAAGTAAAAGTTTAGGTCAAATACCAAAAACTGGCCATCACTTCAGAAACAGTAACTAATATAACTTAATAATCTAAGAAACAAATCTAACAAATTTTATAGTCAGATTAATACAAAAACCAATTTAAATTAACTCACCAGGCCTATTTGTAAATGAACTTCTTTTACAGTATTTGACAAAGATTCTACAATTTCCTTCATGTGAAGAAGATGCATTTCTTCGATGTCTTGAAATTTCTATGTAGTAAATAGAAGCAATTAGAATCATGACGAAAACAGTTAATACACTTAAAATAATTAGTGAATTAAGATGTTATGATTACAGTATTAGATACACTGGGCAAGAAAAATCACCACCAACAAAAAATTTGCTTTCCAAATCTGAACCACATTTATTGATAATGTGTGCAAGCAAAAGGCGGGCATTTTTGGACAACCTAAAGCTAGGTAAGTTAGAATACCTAGAAAGATATTTTATATCACAATACATGATTCAACCATTTGAGCATTTAAAAAAATTTCACATTCTATAATATTTGAAGATAAAAAATACAAAAGTAATGTAGTATTCGCACAACTAACTTCTAGTAGCTCTGAGTACAATTCTGAAACACTTTCATACAACAATGTGCAATTTTGCAAACACAGTTACTGCAACTGTACTTGTGAATATCAGGGTAGACAATCAGAAAGCTGGGAGTGTTGGACTGGTACAACAGTCCCACTCAACAAAAAGGGCTGCCCTCTTTCCTTTCTTCCACTGATATGGCTGTTGACTCCCTCCATGATTCATTATCCTCCACAATGGATTCTTTTGCCCATCTTTCCCACTGCAATATCTGTTCTACAAACCCTCAGCCCTGGTTCTCCCACCTCACCCCCCTTTTCTGCTTCTTTTGCCCCTGCTTTCATGCTGCAAGGTATTTCTTTTAAGTCTTGTGACCACTCTGACTTCTTCCACCCCATATTTGTTCTCTCTACTATTGGTTCCGCCATCTTCCCAGCAAAAAATGAAGTTACTCCCCTTATACAGTAACTGGAGTTTTTCAAAATATGGGTGTCTGGATGTTCCACCCATGTAGCTTTGATATAAAGTTTTTGGTGGCACTGTCTATTTGGCCTGAATATAGGCTCTAGGCCTGCCTGAAGACTGTACAAAAGATATATAAAGAACTCAGTTCCTTCCATCTCGAAGTCTTGCCAGACAAGACTCCAAAAGCAGAGGAGAAGGAGAGCAGGTAACAGAAACCCACAGGGGTGCACATTTCCAATTACTGCCCAAGGAGAGTAATCTCCTCCCACTTCAGAAGTGTCCCTAATGATGTTCCATTGTAGGTGACTCTTTAGCAATAACATCTGATGGAAGTGGGTGCTTCTAAACTGGATCTAACATTGAAAAAAGTCTCTACTGGAAACAGGAGTATTTGATCTAGACGCATGGATCTGAACATTTGCCAGTATATAATATTTCTGTCAACCCATTTGCCAGCAGGCATTGTAGTGGTCAGTGTGCGCCATATGGTTTTGTGGGATCTACTAACATTAATTCACCATCAAGAGCGAGAGACGGTGTAGGCAGCATTATGACATTATAGTGAGAATATAGTGATGGAATATTAGTTTGCAGGGTGAATTCCCTGTCCACTCCAGCTTCCTGGCCTTCAAAAGACTCCTCCAGAGGCTACTGAGGAGCAAGTAATGAGACAGAGGAGTCCCTGTGCGAGGACTTGGGAAGAACCAGGAGGCTTTGAGAACTTCTGGAAGCAAACAGCCCACAGATCCAAATATGGGCACTAAGGTGGACCACAAAGCCATAGCAATGGCATCCAACCCTGGTCATTCCAGTAAAGTGGAATATGAGACTGTCCTTGAGATTACCACCTCATGGTAGAAAGATGGGAGAATGCCCTTGTAGAATAGTCAGGGGCTTCCCACAGCAATCTAAGAAGCTGAGGAAATATTCTGGGCAATCCAATGGTGAAACATATGCTGAAGGTGACTAGAACTGCTTTTCTGATGCAGTTGGTACCAAACAGGTAGGATGTACTAATGAAAGATATGGTCCCAGTGACCCAATAGATCACAGTATCAACAAGTATATGGTACCTATTAAGCGGAATTCCAGCTCATCTGATATAACTAAATCTCTAGAACAAGTGGAGAACTGTTTTTCAAATGGACCCACGGAAAAGAAAAATCAGTTGGGGGCCACACACAAGTGAAAAGCAAAAAACAAAACCTCACTGACCAGGCCCCAACTGAGAAGAAAAAAGACACTCACACTCAATTTGCATTGCCGAGGCTATGTTCACACTCCAGTCCCACAGGAACTGAGCAGGCAAGGTTCAGGACTCCCTGCAACAATGCACAGGCCAGCACTTTCGCTCCAGCCCTGCGGTGAGAAAGCACTGAGGCTCAGAGACTTGCCATGGGCCTGGAACATGAGCACTTTGGGGGAAGTCTCAAAATAGTTAAGGGTCTGCAGCAATCATTGTCACTACTAGGAGAACTGCTTATTTTGATGGTCCCATCCAGGAAGATGGGGCAAGTAGTGAAGGCACTGATTGTTGACATGCAGGCTGCTTAGATAATGGCAGTACTGATGACAGGCAATCTCTATTGTACAGGTACAGACATCTGGGATACTCTTTCATAGACTTTAAGGTCAGAAGGGACCATTATGATCATCTAGTCTGACCCCCTGCACAGTGCAGGCCACAAAATCTCACCCACCCCTCCTAGAATAATCCTCTCACCTATATCTCAGATATTGAAGCCCTCAAATACTTTGAAGACCCCAAGATGCAGAGAATCCTCCAGCTGTGATCTGTACCCCATGCTACAGAGGAAGGCAAAAAACCTCCAGGGCCTCTGCCAATCTACCCTGAAGGAAAATTCCTTCCCGACCCCAAATATGGCGATCAGCTAAACCCTGAGCATGTGGGCAAGACTCATCAGCCAGACACCCAGAAAGTTCTCAGTATCCCAGATGTCTGTACCTGTACAATAGAGATTGCCTGTCATCAGTACTGCCATTATCTAAGCAAACCATAAGGAGTGTGAAGATGTAGCATGCTTCTGTGAAAAAGAATATTTGGAGTCCGCTGGCTTATTATGCTTCAGCAATATCTGGGGTGTTTCAGTACTGAGGTCTGACTGATAGTACCATAGTGTTGTGGGGATCTGGAAATCTTCAAAGAGCTTCTATTACTAGAACAGCTTGAAGCCTGCACGGAACATCCCTGGGTTTCTGGGGTGCATGGTCTCTGAAGGGGACCTGGCTCTTTTTTTTAAGTCTGCTACTAGAAAATCTACAACTTATTTTCTCTTTATCCACCAATTGGTGCAGAGAAGTCAGAGGCAATGTGCCCTCTAAACTTTTCCATCCATGTGTAGAATACATTCTGTTGTGTGCACCAAAGCATATGCAGATGTGCACCACCAGTGGAAACACATGTTTCTGGCTTTAGTAGAGTGCCCACAGTCCCCAATCAACTGGATGGCATTTGAATTTCTCCTGGGCACTACACAAGCATTCAGCTTACACGGAACAGTGGTCAGAGGTGATGTCTTCAATAGCAATAATGTATCTGAGGATCCCAGTAGTCATATTAATTTAGCTTCTTTCTATTTCTTGCTGGAACTGGAAGCATGTCCATCTACTAGGGCACTCATAATGAAAATCTCTGAGGTTCCATATGGGACCATGTTGCTTCTAAATGTGTCTGAAGCCACTTTCATGAATTGCTTCAAGAGGTGCAGTTTAAGCCTCATATCCCTTGACTTCTAAATACAAGAGAAACAGTTGGAACATCTATGAGGGACATGAGCTTCCCTAATGCAGAAAAGACATCTGCTATACTCATCACACAAAGAACAGAGCTAAAACCTCAGAACTTATTATCTGGTATTTTTCATGGCTGTATAACTTTGTTCTCTCTGTAAGGGGTGAGAGAAGGGTGTACAAAGGCTCTCTCCTGTCAATTCTGCTATTTTCCCCTCAGAACATTCAAATACAATGAAAATTGTACAGATTAAACCAACAAGAGTACTTCTTCACAGATAAAATTTGAAGCTTAGACAAAAGCATAGCTAATAGGATGCAGTCCAGGATCTGTTTCACAGCCATTGGTTCTAAGAGGAAACAGAAGGTCATGGTTTCTCCATCTTTTATGTCGGGGTGGACAATAATTCTCAATGAGGGGCCACTTCAAGAATTTGATAAGTGGTCAAGGAACGTACTTTTCTACTATATTAATGGAGGAGTGTGGGTCTAGACGGAGTTTGGATGCATGAGGGGGTTGTGATCTGGGGTAGGGAGCTGGAGTGCTAGGTGCAGAGTCTGGCCAGGAGATGCTTGCTGTTGGTAGTTTCTGGCCAGTAGCCAGCAGGAACTTCAGGCTGAAGTCTCCCTATCTGCTACTGCCACACATGCCATTCAATATGGGAGCTGCTAGGGCCAGTTTGTGTGTTTCTATGAAGCATGGCCCTTGGAGAGGAGGTAGCAGGTCTCCTCATGCTGCATATGCCTGCAAGCAATGCCCACACAGCTCCAAATTGCTGGTTTCCTGCCAATGGGAAGCTGTAAGAATGGTACTGGGAGTATGGGCAGGACATGGGGACTCCCACAGTTAGCATACAAAGACACACACACACTGGCCCCAGAAGCCAGCTGTATTTTGCCCACCTCTGCTTTATGTTCTCCTGAGAGATCACAAAGAAGAAAAGGCGTAAAAGTGGCCCTGATAGACCTGGCTATGCAAAAGATACCAAGCTTGTGCACACAAGGCACATGTACACTGACCACCCAAAAAAGTAGTTATTTTAATGCAACATATCCCTCATGAAACCAATGACTGTGAAGAACAGAAACCAGTTTACTCTGCTACCTTCTTGGAAAGCCAGAACTGTAGCCAAAATAATATGTTTAACTTGCATGAATGTCAGTTAATAGAATACTCGAGTGAAGTATTAGACTTAACACTATTCTTCAAAACGTCTTCATCTAAATTTATATTATCTTCTGCTAGAAATATATTATCTGACATTTCAGACAGATGTCTTTAACTTCTCTGAAGCCATGCTAACAAACATTTCAAGAAAGAAATCAAAGATACACTCTGGTTTTGAGTTACCAATTGTGACACAAAACACCAAGCCTGATGAGATCAGCTAAGATACAGTCTCCAATACATTTGGGAAATGGCTAGCATCAAATTATCAAGACTTTGGAACTT